AGGGTGCCGTCAGTCAGACAGTGCCGGCTGGCGACCCCCAGGGGGAGGGCCTTCTCTGTTGGAGCCCCCTCCCTATGGAACGAATTACCCCCAGAGATCCGGGTCATTCCGGATCTCCCCTCCTTCCGCCGCGCCCTCAAGACATGGCTATTCCAGCTAGCGGGACTGGCCTAAGGGATATTTTAATTTGATTTTAATTCGATTTTAATTTGGTTTTTAACATCATTTTAAAAAGAAACGGCAAAAAATCAATATTTCATTTTAATTGTATTTTAAACTTAGTATTTTGTATGGTTTGTCTGTTTTTTAACTTGCTGTAAGCCGCCCTGAGTCCGCCAGGAGAAGGGCGGGGTATAAATTTAATTTAAAAAAAAAAACAACAAAAAAAAACACCTAGAAATAAAGAGAATTTTCCTGACAGTCAGAACAGTTAGCCAGTGGAACGACTTGCCTCCAGACGTTGTGGGTTGCTCCATCGCTGGAGGTTGTTAAGAGGAGACTGGACAACCCTCGGTCTGAAATGGGATAGGCCAGGGGGTAGGCAACCTCGGCTCTTTTATGACTCGTGGACTTCAACTCCCAGAATTCCTGAGTCAGCTATGCTGACTCAGGAATTCTGGGAGTTGAAGTCCACGAGTCATAAAAGAGCCGAGGTTGCCCACCCCTGGTATAGGCTCTCCTGCTTGAGCAGGGGGTTGGACTAGAAGACCTCCAAGGTCCCTTCCAACTCTGTTCTTCTTGTTCTTCCGCTCCGCTGACTCGGTCAACGCGACCCTCTTCCGTTCTTTCCGCCTGACGGTGTGTCTCTGAACGTGTGAAGAGCAGACTCGGATGCACCCTCCGAGTTCTGATGGATGTGCCCTTTGGGGGAAAGATTCCCGAGGCGACCCTGGGTGCAGCTTGTTTGCAATTTAAGCGGGGGGGGGAACAGATGGAGGATGGGTCCCCTTCGATCACTGAAATCAATTAGATCAGGGGTTCCCAACCAGGGGTTCCCCTGGGGGTGCGAGACGATAGTCCAGGGGGTGCAAAAACATGGGTGTTCAAAATTATAGTATATATGCATAATTCGTTGCCGTTATTTCGAACTTTTTGTAAGGGGTGTGAGAATATATCAGAAGCGTTTTAAGGGTGCGGGGTATAGAAAAGGTGAATAATAATGATAAAGTTGGAAGGGACCTTGGAGGTCATCTAGTCCAACCCCCTGCTCAGGCAGGAAACCCTATACCATTTTGGACAAATGGCTGTCCAGTTTCTTCTTAAAAACTTCCAGTGTTGGTGCATTCACCGCTTCTGGAGGCAGATTGTTCCACTGGTTAATTGTTCTAACTGTTCTAAGGTTGAATTAGGTGAACGCAGGTTCTCCTTTTTTTTCTTGGATATTCACCTTTAACTTTAGCTTCTTATTTTGACTTCGTTCGTGGGAATGTGATGATGCGATGGGTATCCAGAGGTGAACCCCTCCAGCTCCATCCTGGCCAGATGTTTAACCGCAGCTGGATTGTCCTTGTTCTGGGTCTGCACCATAGACAAATCCTAGACAAACTAAATGGGCCAATTTAACACAGATTGCGCTTTGCACAATATATAATGCGCAGTGCTTTATATAAGTGCAGCAGTGGCTATACGCCTTTAGCGGGTCTGAGTAAGTGGGTTGTATGAATACAGCATAGCTAGTCAGTGTCTCCAGATACTAGTAACCGTAGTTTAGGCATCTTTTTGTCATTCTGCTTGAATTCTAGTAAGGATAAAAATATATATACTCCCTGTATGGATCAAAATATTGTATCCTTTTTTTTTTTTTTGCTGTTGCACCTAAAGGCAGGACAAGAAGTAAAGGGTGGAAGCTAATCAAGGAGAGAACCAGTATAGAACTAAGGAGAAATCTCCTAACAATGAGAACAATCAATCAGTGGAACGACCTGCCTCCAGAAGTTGTGGGTGCTCCATCACTGGAGGTTTTTAAAAAGAGATAGGACAACTATTTGTCTGAAATGGTATAGGGTCTCCTACTTGAGCCGGGGGGGGGGGGTTGGACTAGATGACCTCCAAGGTCCCTGCCTTCCAATTCTGTTTTCTGTTATATTTTCACTTTGACAATAATAACCAGGTTGAGGGCTAAATTCTTGGGGAAATCCCGATTCGAAGAAATGCTTCCCAAGGGGAGGATAAAAGAGTAGAGTCTGCAGGATCAGGTGATCTGGATCAGCTGGGACTCCTGGCTTTAAATGGGCATTTGGAGGGGGGGGCTTGGAAGAGCAGGATAAGGATAAAGTAGCAAGCAAGTAGGTTGTTTCCTCTCCAGTTTGGGACTGTTGGGATGGGATGGGATGGGATGGGATGGGATGGGATGAGATGAGATGAGATGAGATGAGATGACGGGACGGGACGGGACAGGACAGTGTAAGGGTATGTGGGAAGGACCTTGGGGAAACAGGAGGAAGACATACAGTGTGTAGGCAACGGTGTGATAAACAGCAACTCCCCAGTTGGGGAAAAAGTATGAAAAGTCTTTCAGAGGGAATCCTTCCTAGTTTTCTGGAGACTAAAAAGGAAGGAGGGGAGAAATAAGATTAACGTAATCTTACAAAATAGTTGAGAGCCAGTTTGGTGTAGTGCTTAAGGCAGGGATCTTCAAACTTGGCCCTTTTATGACTTGTGGACTTCGACTCCCAGAATTCCTCAGCCAGTGTGCCTGGCTGAGGAATTCTGGGAATTGAAGTCCACAAGTCATAAAAGGGCCAAGCTTGAAGACCCCTGTTGTTGTAGACAGCTTCCAAGGCTTTAGTTGGAATGCTTACCATGAGGTCTACCAGATATGGGCAGCAGAAATACAAAGAACCACTAGATGGCAGCAAAAATGATAGATGATTCCACATCTCTTGGCTGCCCTCTGGTGGGCCTGTGGATTTTGCCATACAGATCAATAGTTTTGCTTATTAATGTATGTATGCATGCATGTATGTGTTTACATATTTACCACCTTTATTATTTTTATAAATAACTCAAAGTGGTGAACATACCCTAATGATTTACTGACGACAACACCCCTGTGAGGTGGGTTGAGCTGAGGGAAAGTGGCTGGCCCAAAGTCACCCCACCAGATTTTTTTCAGGCCTAAGGCAGGACTAGAACTCACAATCTCCTGATGATTGGTCCAAAGTCACCCAGTTGGCTTTCATGCCTAAGGCAGGACTAGAATTTACAGTTGTCTGGTTTCTAGCCTGATGCCTTAACCACTAGAACAGGGGTCCCCAACCTTGGCAACTTTAAGGCTTGTGGACTTCAGTTCCCAGAATTCCTCACTTAGCCATGGCCGAGGAATTCTGGGAGTTGAAGTCCACAAGTCTTAAAGTTGCCAAGGTTGGGGACTCCTGCTTTGGAACAGAGTTCCTCAATATTGGCAACATTAAGATGGGTGAACTTCAATTCCCAGAATACCCCAGCCAGGAAGTCTGGGAGTTGAAGTCCACAGGTCTTAAAGTGGCCAAGATTGAGAATTGCTGCTTTAGACTAAGAAAACTGGTTAGCATTCTGTCGCAACCATTGGTTTCCAGAATAGGTAGATATCAGCTCCTATAATATTTTATTTATCCAAAAATATCTGAAGAGGTCCCAAGTGAAAAAGAGGAAGTCTTCTCTGTGGTCAAATAAATCAGGGGTCTCCAAACTTGGCAACTTGAAGACTGGTGGACTTCAATTCCCAGAATTCCTCAGTCAGCCATGGCTGAGGCATTCTGAGAGTTGAAATCTCACAAGTTTTCAAGTTGCCAAGTTTGGAGACCCCTGTCCTAGACCAGGGGTGGGGAACCTTGGCTCTTTTAGGACTGGTGGACTTCAACTCCCAGAATTCCTGAGCCAGCCATGCTGAGGGGAAAGGGAGAGGTTTCCAAGCTGAGCCAGGCTGGCTCAGGAATTCTGGGAGTTGAAGTCCACGAGTCATAAAAGAGCCAAGGTTCCCCACCCCTGCCTTAGACCAAATTGAGCCTTGTGCAAAATCATTTTGTGCGTATATGTGTGTGACTTACCTTTTTTGCAAACCTGTTTGGTGAATTTAGCATCCCACCTGTGGTGCAAACCCAGAGAATGGGCCGATTCACTCGCTCGATTTAGTGCAGCATTTCTCAAACATGGCCCCTTTAAGACACAAGGACTTCAACTCCCAGAATTCTGGGCACTGAAGTCCACAACTCTTCTTCAAGTTGCCAAGTTTATGAGAAACACCTGATTTAGTAGGTGTGGCAGCCAGTTCAATGCACCGTTTTCTGGAGCACTCAGGATTCTTTTCCTTTGTAGGATGTTACTTCGGTGGCCGGTCCTACACCTTGGAGGATACCTGGCATCCTGATTTAGGGGAACCCTTTGGCATTATGCACTGTGTGGTGTGCACCTGCGAGCCGGTAAGTGTAATTGAAGACCCAGGGTCAGAGACAGGTGGGTTTTTTTCTCATTTTTTAAAATTAATTTTCTATTATTACCTTTGATTAATGCTTAATAAACATCGTGTTGCCTGGGTTAATTTGTTTGCTTAATAATACAAGTTACATTCTTAGTCTCTAGCCCAGGGGTCTTCAAACTTGGCCCTTTTAGGACTTGTGGACTTCAACTCACAGAATTCCTCAGCCAGGCACGCGTGGCTGGCTGAGGAATTCTGGGAGTTGAAGTCCACAAGTCCTAAAAGGGCCAAGTTTGAAGACCCCTGCACTAAATGTCCTGGGCTCACCACACCTGCACCGTTAGACCTCCCCATCAAAGGAGTATGAAAATGAAGGCCTTCAGCACACATATTAACAGAAGGGAACTTGGAGGTCCTCTAGTCTAACCCCCTGCTCAGGCAGGAAACCCTATACCAGGATTGGCCCTTTTATGACTTGTGGGCTTCAACTCCCAGAATTCCTCGGCCAACTGCACAGCCAACCAGAGATGGCCCTTTTTCCCAACCATGGCCCTTTTATGACTTGTGGGCTTCAACTCCCAGAATTCCTCGGCCAACGTGGCTGGCTGAGGAATTCTGGGAGTTGAAGTCCACAAGTCATAAAAAGCCCTTTTTTCCCAACCATTGCTAAAATAATGGAATGAGGGATCCTGATACAGGCAGTCCTCGGTTAACAATACTTTGCAATAGTGGTGACTTTCTGTAGCTCGGGTGTAGGATGAGGGCGAAGGCTCGTTCTCCAGGCTTGTGGGTCAAACTGCAGTCGAACGCCACAATCCCAAATCCTTATTCTCTGCCCACAATGACACCGAAGAACACCAGTTTGATTGGAGCAACACAAATGTCATGGGCCACGCGACCACCTGCCATGCTCGTGAGTTCAATGAAGCCTGTCACTCCACAAGCAAACACATCAATCTACAACCAGCCTACGGACCCCTCAGGATCCAACTCAACTGCACAGCCAACCAGAGATGGCATCGACCCTCAGCCAACCCAACTAAGCTTACCCCCATCTATGATCAAAGGCCTGGAGACTAAAACATACAAAGAACAGCTACGGGACTTGAGTTTGGCTAGTCTAAAGAAAAGAAGAAACAGGGGAGACATGAGAGCAGTGTTCCAGTATTTGAGGGGCTGCCACAAAGAAGAGGGGGTCAAATTATTCTCCAAAGTACCTGAAGGCAGGACAAGAAACAATGGATGGGAACTGACCAAAGGGAGAAGCAACCTGGAATTAAGAAGAAACTTCCTGATAGTGAGGACAATCAACCAGTGGAACAGCTTGACTTCAGAAATTGTGGGTGCTCCATCACTGGAGGTTTTTAAGAAGAGGGTAGACATTCATCTGTCTGAGATGGTATAGGTTCTCCTGCTTGAGCAGGGGGTTGGACTAGAAGACCTCCAAGGTCCGTTCCAGCTCTATTCTATTCTATTCTATTCTATTCTATTCTATTCTATTCTATTCTATTCTATTCTATTCTATTCTATTCTATTCCTCCTCCCACCAGCAGTTCACCTCCCAATGATCCTAACCTCCCCATCACAAGATCCATCACCAGCCTCTCACTGATGACTCACACCTGACCCATCGCAAGACCCTCACTCGACACACCCACACCTGAAGCCCTTATAGACAGAAGAACACGGACACTGCTCGGCTGAAGATGTTACCTAACCTGGTAACAAAACGTTCGGAAACCAACCCAGAAGCTCGGAGAACGAAACTTCCACCTTACAATAGTTTGTTTAATGACCGTTTTCAAAGTTACAATGGCACTGAAAAAAATGCATTTTTCACACTTATGCCAGTTACAGCATCCCCGGGGTCATGTGATCTACATTGAGATGCCTGACAATTGGTTCATATTTAGGATGACCGTTGCAGTGTTCCTGTGATCCCCTTTTGGGACCGTCTGACATGCAAAGTCAACGGGAAAGCCAGATTCACTGATCAACGGTATTAGTAACTTAACAACTGTAGTGATTAACAACTGTGGCCTGAATGGTTGTAAAATGGGAAAAAACTGACAACAAATTTCTCACTTGGCAACATACATTTTGGGCTCAGATTGTGGCCGTAAGACAAGGATTACTGTAGTGTATTCCATCCATTGGTTTGATGCCTCCGTTCTTATGTTCAGGATCCATAACACTCCTGCTCTCCTCTTTAAAACTAGGAGACATCTCCGAGAAATATTTCCAAAAAAGGTCACTCCTAAAGCAGCCAATTTAAATTTATTTTCCCTAGCCGGAGCGGAGGGGAAGGGGGGGGAAAGGGATGGTGTTGTGGGGGGTAAACACGTGTGCCCATGCACATGTGCACATGAACACCCATTACTCGAGCGAGTGGAGCCGTGAGCGCTTTGTGCGAGTGGGGTCACAAACACCCGTGACACTCGCGGCGGCATTCGCATGAGTTGGGCTGTGCATGCACGCACAGGCACCTGCCAGCCACTCACGTGGCTCAATGGCCAATAGGCGGTGGCCCAGTACAGGAAGTCCTTGACTTACGACCACAATTGAGCCCGAAATTTCTGTTGCTAAGTGAGACATTTTTTAAAGTGAGTTTTGCTGCATTTTACAACTTTTTTCTCCATGGTGATTAAATGAATCACTGCCCTTCTTAATTTACTAACATGGTTGTTCAACGAATCTGGTTTTCCCATTGACTTTGCTTGTCAGAAGGACGCAAAAGGTGACCATGTGCCCCCGGGACGCTGTGACTGTCATAAATATGAGTCAGTTGCCAAGCGTCTGAGTTTTGATTACGTGACCACGGGGATGCTGCAAGATTGTAAGTGTGGAAAAACGCTCATAAGTGACTTGTTTTTCCTGTGCCGTTGTAACTTTGAACGGTCACTAAATGAATTGTTGTAAGTCAAGGACAACCTGTATCAGGATCCCTCATTCCAGAGGTGGTTATTAGGCCCACAGGTTAGGACTAGAACACAAGACAGCATAGCATTTGGTGAGCGAAAGAATGATCTTCTAGTTTGAAAAAAAATGTGTAGAAATGGGTTTTTCTCCCTTTTCCCATCTATTTTATAAACAGAATCTTACACAGGTTCCCTGAAGGATTGGGGCTAACAGCAAGACTCACATACAGGGAGTTCTCAACTTATAACCTTTCGTTTAGTGACGGAAGTTACAACGGAACTAAAAAAAAAATCACCTGACTGTTTTTCACACTTAAAAACATTGCCGCTTCCCCGTGGTCACGTGACCGAAATTCAGCTGCTTGGCAACCGGCTCTATTTATGACAGTTGTGGTGTCCTTAGCAGCCATATGATCAACCTTTGATCACCAACAGTTCTGTCGCTAAGCAAGACCGTTGTTTTGCGAATATGGCCTCATTTTAGGACCTTTCTTGCCACAGTTGTTAAGTGAATCACTGCAGTTCTTAAGCTAGTAACACGGTTGTTAAGGGAATCCGGCTTCCACCATTAACTTTGCTTGTCAGAAGGTCGCAAAAGAGGGTCACATGATCCCGGGAGATTGCAACCGTCATAAGTACATGCCAGTTGCCAAGCGTCTGCATTTTGATCACATGATCGTGGGGATGCTGGAAAAGCCGTAAGTGTGGAAAATGGTCGTAAGTCACTTTTTTTCAGTGCCATGGTGACTTCGAACAGCCACTAAATTAATGGTTGTAAGTTGAGAACTATCGGTAGCCATTCCTTTGCATATCAAGAACAATTCAAAATGGCGTCCTCCCACACTTCAAAGGAATAGGACTGGAAGATGAGTGAGAAAATAAATTTGGATCTATTTGGCTGCCAAAAGTTGACAAAAGATTGATGATAAAGAATTGTAGCATCCAATGCACACGATACGAGGACTTTGCCTGGATGGGAAGATTCTGCACCTCGGCTCTTTTATGACTCATGGACTTCAACTCCCAGAATTCCTGAGCCAGCCATGCTGAGGGGAAAGGGAGAGGTTTCCAAGCTGAGCTATGCTGACTCAGGAATTCTGGGAGTTGAAGTCCATGAGTCATAAAAGAGCCGAGGTTGCCTACCCCTGAATAGTCCCTCATAAAACACAAAAGTCCCAGGATGCATCTCTCCAAAACCTGAAGAATCTATTGTAAGAATTTCCTGTTGTTGTTTTTTCCCCCCAGCAGAGAAATCGGAGAGGGAAACCTGCAGGCAAAGTCAGCTGTAAGAACATTAAGCATAGCTGCCCCAAGCTTCCTTGTGCTGACCCTATTGCTCTCCCAGGACAATGTTGCAAATCCTGCCCCAAAGGTAAGTCAGTTACAGGTGGTCCTCGCTTACTGGAGGCCTTGTTTCGTGACCGTTTGAAGTTACGGCAGTGTAAAAAAAAAAAAAACAGCTTGGCAAACAATTCTGACATTTATAATGGTCGCACCATCTGCAGTCACTTGATCAGCATTTGTATGCATCCCAGCTAGCTTGCAAGCAGCTTGCCACAAGCAGAGTTAATAATAATAATAATAATAATAATAATAATAATAATAATAATAGTAATAGTAATAATAATAATAATAATAGTAATAATAGTAATAAAGTTGGAAGGGGCCTTGGAGGTCATCAAGTCCAACCCCCTGCTCAGGCAGGAAACCCCTATACCATTTTGGACAAATGGCTGTCCAGTCTCTTCTTAAAAACTTCCAGTGTTGGAACATTCACCGCTTCTGGAGGCAGGTTGTTCCACTGGTTAATTGTTCTAACTGTCTGGAAGTTTCTCCTTAGTTCTAGGTTGCTTCTCTCTTTGATTAGTTTCCATCCGTTGCTTCTTGTCCTGCCTTCAGGCGCTTTGGAAAATAGCTTGACTCCCTCTTCCTTGGGGCAGCCCCTGAGATATTGGAAGGCTGCTATCATGTCCCCCCTCCTCCTTCTCTTCGTTAAACTAGACATACCCAATTCCTGCAGCCTGCAATCCCGCAATCCCCAAAGTGCTTCTGAAAAGGCAACTGGACGTCTTCCTCTGTGTCAGTTAACCTCTTTTTCCGTCTCAGCTCCGCCGTTCAGTCCAGGCTCTGCATCAGATGGCAGACAGGAGGCCAAAGCATTCAGTAGGGCAGATGTAACCCTCCTCTCTTGTTTATTTGGTGTGTTGATTTTTGGTGCCCTGTGCTTTCCCTTGTATAGTCTATTTCCCATTTGTTTAGCTTTCCCGAGATGACTAAGAAGGCGATGTGTTTATCTCCATAACACCCTGCACACACCTGCCCTTGTCTGCTCCCAACAGCTGGACAGAGCCAATGTTTGGACAGAAGGAAGTTGTCTGGAGCCATCTGGGTACACTGAGTAAAGGCTTGGAGTGCAAAACTAGATGGCCCTCACAGACAGCCTATGGAGATTCTCAGTCATCCAGGTTTATGCTTGTCCCAAAGGTGTTTTTTTTTTCTTTCCAAAAAGCAACTGGACCTTCTTGGTTGTTGTTTATTAAAAAAAATATGTTTTCCTTCTCATCCAAGAAGATTCTTGGATGACAAGCCCAAAATCAAGAAGCTTCTTGGATGACAAGCCAAGAAAGCCAACACAGTGCTAGGCTGTATTAACAGAGGGATAGATTCAAGATCGTGTGAAGTGTTAATACCACTTTACAATGCCTTGGTAAGGCCACACTTGGAATACTGCATCTAGTTTTGGTCACCACGATGTTAAAAAGATGTTGAGACTCTAGAACAGTGGTTGCGAACCTATGGCACGGATGCCAGAGGTGGCACTCAGAGCCCTCTCTCTGGGCACACGCGCCGTCGCCCCAGTCCTAGGCCTTCAGCTGGGTTTTATAAAACCTTTTCGCTTTAGGCCTCCGCCGCCGTGTACAAAAAAAAAAAGGTTCAATCAATCAGTCAATTTCAACTTCTCGCGGGGAAAAAAAAGATCTTGCAAAGTTGGAATTGATTGATTGAACTTTTTAGTCCCACCCAGTCTGTTACCACCGCAGCCACGCCCACCCAATGGGCCACGCCCACCCAATGGGCCACACCCACCCGGCACCCAACGAGGCATAAATGGATTTTGGGTTGCAGTTTGGGCACTCGGACTCTAAAAGGTTCGCCATCACTGCTCTAGAAAGAGTGCAGAGAAGAGCAACAAAGATGATCAGGGGACTGGAGGCTAAAACATATATAATAAAGAACAGTTGCTAGAATTGGGTATGTCTAGTCCAGGGGTAGGCAACCTTGGCTCTTTTATGACTCGTGCACTTCAACTCCCAGAATTCCTGAGCCAGCATGGCTTGGCTTGAAAAACTCTCCCTTTCCCCTCAGCATGGCTGGCTCAGGAATTCACTTAACAACCGTGTTATTGAGTTAATAACTGCAGCGATTCACTTAAACAACTGTGACAAGAAAAATCGTAAAATGGGCGGGAAAAACTCACTTCACAACAGTCTGGTTTAGCGACAGAAATGTTGGCCTCACTCGGTGTTCGAGGACTACGTGTATAAGGAAAAATAATCACCAGCTGAACCAGTATTCCGAGTCTGAATCAGAGTAAGGACAGGACTCTCTCTTTCCACCCGGCTCTGAATCCTCAGTTACTTTGCTGACACGACAAAATCACCGCAATTTGGTTTGGATATGTTGATTTCACATTCGGGGTATTTTACTTGGGAGTACGAGTGAAAGGGAGACTTTGTCCTGTTGTGGTGGATGGCACAAGGAGGTCTTGCTGCCGTCTGAAGCCTGCGGCCTGTGGCCTCGTCTAGCCGTTTACAAAATGCCACCCAAACATGCCTTTGAAAAATCATAAATAAAAAACACCTTTGGGCAGCATGAATCATCGCATGTGGATGCCGTAAATTCTCCCGTTCCTTTCACATGTGGGATTCTCCATCCTGACGCTGCTCGGTGGGATATGAGGGGGAATCCAGGGACCCTCCCAAGTGTTGGGAAACCCCTTTTCTGACTCTTTCCCCAGAGATATTGGGGCAATTCAGTTCCAGCATTGGCCCCATAAACCAGACCCAAGGCCTAGAACAGCGGCATCTTGATTCTTTTGTATGTCTGCCCAGCACACGTGTAACTGTGTGAAGAAGGATGCGGTTCTTATTTGGAATGATGGCGCAAAGAGTCATGGTTTATCTAGTTATTATTTTTATTATTTTATACCATGGCACTATAAGGCTGGGTGGCAACGGTTAGCTCTCCTTGGCTGGTTTTAGAACAGTTTAACCAAGATTGGACCACCCTGGAAATCTCAAGGCTTTGCCTACTCTTAGTAACTTGAAACATTTCCTGGAAGAAATGACGTTTCTACATTGTTGTCATGGAAAATCATTTTGGGCTGTCCGCACAAGCAGGTTTTAAGAGACATCTAGAAAAAGGGCAGAGATGGTGCCTTCCTCACCTTGAGGGATAATGTTTCCACAGAGTAGGTGCCACAGGGTCTCTTGTGTAACTCCATGGCAGATGTAACTCCTGGGCAAACAAAACCCGCAACAGACCTCTTCTGCCGGATCTGATGGGGCAGGCGGGTGTAACTGGGAAGAGGCTATCCCTCAAGTAACCAGTCCCTTGCCGTGAAGGGCTTTACGGTCAAAACTAGCATCTTGAGCTGGCCCCTGAAACAAACTGTTAATCAGTGTACCTCACGGAACAGATATAGGTAGTCCTCGATTTTCAACACTTCATTTAGTGACCGTTTGAAATTATAATGGCACCGAAAAAAGGGACTTAAGACTGTTTTTCACACTTAAGACCGCTGCAGCCTTCCCATAATCATGTGGTGTTTAGGAACTGACTCACATTTATGATCGTGGTACTGTCCCAGGATCACGTGACTCCCTTTTGCAACTTTCTGGACAGCAAAGTCAATGGGAAAACCAGATTTTCACTCAACAACCGTGTTACTAATTTAACCACCGCAGTGATTCACTAGACAACAGTGGCAAGGAAGGTGGTAAAGTGGAGCAGAATTCACTTAACAGACGTCTCACTAAGCAACAAAAATTCCGGCCTCAATTGTGGTCGTAAGTGGAAGACACCCCGTATGCAGATGGCTGTTATTTTTGATGCTTCCTCTCTCTCTCTGTTCTCCTCATGCAGCCCCTGCCAAAACCCTGGAGAAAATATCTGAGCAGCAGCTGTTTGACAAGATGGAGTACTTTCAGGAGAGAGAAGATGGCTTACACAGGAACTACAACGACCGTGCCTACTTCAGCTCGGAGGACTTGATCCGAGACGACAGCCAGATAGGTACGGGTGAGCTGGTGCCCAGGACCTGATTCCAGGGTGCGTGCAGTGGTGGGATTCAGCCGGTTCGCACCAGTTTGGCAGAACCGGTAGCTAATTTTTTGTTGTCCAGGCCCAGAACGGACTTCCGGAAGCGGCATCCACACAGAGAACCGGTTGTTCACATATTTGAATCCCACCACTGGGTGCGTGTGTTTGTGTGTAACCATAGGATGTAGTGTTACAGGCTTTCTCTTCCAGACACATTCAGTGCAGGTTGTCCTCCACTTACAACAGTTTGTTTAGTGACCGGTCAAAGTTACAACGGCACTTGAAAAAGTGACTGATGACCGTTTTTCACACTTATAACCATTGCAGCATCCCCAGGGGTCACGTGATCAACATTCGGATGCTTGGCCGGCGGTTCATACTTATGACGGTTGCCGTGTCCCAAGGTCATGGGATCCCCTTTTGTGACCTCTTGACCAGGAAAGTCGTGTGATTTACATTCAGATCCTTGGCAACTGGTCCATATTTAGGACGGTTGTACTATCCCGGGATCATGTGATCCCCTTTTGCAAAATCAATGGGGGAATCCAGATTCACTTAACAACCGTGTTGCCAACTTAGCAATTGCATTTATTCGGGGAACAAACTGTGGCAAGAAAGGTCGTGAAGTGGGGCAAAACTGCTTAGCAACTGTCTCACTTAGCAATGGAAATTTTAGGCTCAGTTGTACCCTGTGCCTCTCCAAACCAAGTATAGCCTGCCAAGCACAGGTAGTCCTCGACTTACGACACTTCATTTAGTGACCGTTCAAAGTTACAACGGGACTGAAAAAGTGGACTTATGACCGTTTTTCACACTTACAACCATTGCAGCATCCCCATGGTTACGTGATCGAAATTCGGATGCTTGGCCAGTGGTTCATACTTACGACGGTTGCCGTGTCCCTGCAATCCCCTTTGGCGACCTCCTGACAAGCAAAATCACTGAGGAAGGCAGCTTCACTTAACAACCGGGTTACTTACTTAACAGCTGCAGCAATTGGCTTCACAACGTTGTAAAATGGGGTAAAACTCACCAAACAAATGTCTCACTTAGCAGCATAAATTTTGGGCTCAGTTGTGGTCGTACATCGAGGACTACATGTACAGTAAGAACCCTACAACAGTCGTAATTTCAAATCTGGATTGCAAGGGCCCCCAGAAAGGCCCATCATTGCTTTGAACTGTCGCTAAGCGATCATTCGTAAGTCAAGGACTGCCTGTATTTAAGCAATGAATACTGTGCGTGAATTTATTTCCAGGTTGCGTGCAATGTCAGATCACATCAACTTCTTTATTTGTTTCTCAGATTTTGTGGCGTTGCTGATCGGGGGCTCAGATCCGAGGGGGGCTGCAACCAGCGCAGTGGCCAAAGCCAAATTCACTTTCACACAGTTGCATCTAATCTTCTCCATTAACTATGAAAGGTGAGTGAGTCTCACTCGTGTCTCCATCTGATGTCCCCCCACCTGTAGATTCAGAATCAGAATCAGAACAGAGTTGGAAGGGGCCTTGGAGGTCTTCTAGTCCAGCCCCCTACTCAAGCAGGAGGACCTATACCCGTGGTGGCAAACCTATGGCACGCGTGCCACAGGTGGCACGCAGAGCCCTCTCTGTGGGCACGCGCGCCGTCGCTCCAGTCCTAGGCCTTCAGCTGGGTTTTATAAAACCTTTTCGCTTTAGACCAACACCGCCATGTGCAAAAAAAAAAGGTTCAATCAATCAGTCAATTTCAACTTCTCGCGGGAAAAAAAAAGATCTTGCAAAGTTGGAATTGATTGATTGAACTTTTTAGTCCCACGCAGTCTGTTGTTACCACTGCAGCCACGCCACACCAATGGGCCACGCCCACACCAATGGGCCATGCCCACCCAATGGGCCACGCCCACCCGACACCCAATGATACATAAGTGGGTTTTGGGTTGCAATTTGGGCACTCAGTCTCTAAAGGTTTCGCCATCACTGGTCTAGTCTCTTCTTAAAAGCCTCCAGTGATGAAGCACCCACAGCTTCTGAAGGCAAGTCATTCCACTGGTTAATTGTCCTAACTGTCAGGAAGTTTCTCCTTAGTTGCAGGTGGCTTTTCTCCTTGATTAGTTTCCAACCGTTGTTTCTTGTCCTGCCTTCTGGTGCTTTGGAGAATAATTTGACCCTCTCTTCTTTGTGGCAGACCCTCAAATACTGGAACATTGCGGTTATGTCCCCCCCCCCCGGTCCTTCTTTTCTCCAGACTGGCCATGCCCGCTTCCTGCAACCGTTCTTCCTATGTTTTAGTCTCCAGGCCTTTATGCCTAGAGATGGGGTGGAGGAATTTCCCATAAGAGGCCAGACCCAACCCATTACGTTCAAGACAAAACAGAAGAATCATAAAACCTATGAGCTGGAAGGGACTTTAAAGGTAATTTAGTTGAACCCGCTGGGTCAGTTTAGGGATCTGCATGAAGAACGAGGAATAGTGCCCACCTACTGTAGCTCTGGATTGAACAACTTCAGCCAGGGAAAAGCTACCAATGGGATGTCCAACTTTGGCAACTTTAAGACCTTGACTCCCAGAATTCCAGAGCCAGCCGTGCTTAGCAGAACACAGGAACTTATCCCACGATAAGATAAATGCAAAACTCCTCCTTGGGTTTAATTTCAGCCACGGTCCTCTCCACCTCCCTTTTTTCATCCTTGTACTCTGTACTCCATTCTAATAAGCAGCTGTGTTTCTCCAAACCAGGCGTTGGAGAATTCTAGCTTGGCTTTGCAGCAGATTCATCCCTGGTCCAAAGCTCTTCCCCCCCCGCTCCCCCCCTACAGTTAGGATGAGGATGACTGAATACAAATTGGAAAGCCAGGAGGGAGGGGAACGTGGAGGGGGGGGAGAGGGAGGGGAGAGGGGTCATGGTCCAATGAACAGTTTGGGTGCTTTATCATCCCAGCCCTGCAGCCTCTGCTTTCTCCCGATGGGGTTTCATGGGGGTTTAATCTCTCTCTGCCTCGTGCATGGCTGGGGGAGCCGATGGGGAGGGGGGTGTCAACGTTGATTGATTAACCTCCCCTCCCGCAATTACGAAATCTGCCTTCAGCTCACGGCGTGAGCTGAACTGCACACAGCCTCCGTAGTGCAGGGACACATCGCGTCTCCCCCACCCCCCCACCCCCCAGGTTTTTTTTTTCTTCCAGGCTTTTGCATAGCCAAGCGGTGACTAATTTCCACATGTGCACTCCGATCCCCCAAAGCAGCGTTCGTGGTTGTTATGATTCCCGGCAAGGCCAAAACATGACAGCTTCTCAACCCTGGAGAAGCCTGGAAGCTCCCTCTGCCTTTGGAGAGGATTTGGGGGTGGGGGTGGGGGGCAGAAGCGTGGAGAGGAATTGTTTTTGGCTGGCCAAAGCCCCGTTTCCTTTATTTATTTATGTAAAGATTTACACTGTTTTGGGGGAGAGCTGCGTTTGTTCCTAACGTTTTAGCGGTCATTTGGCCTCTCTGAAAGTGCACACTTTTTTTAAAAATTGCTTTTATTTTAAAGTTAAATGGGAATTGGCTATGGCCAGTCTAGAGAAGAGAAGGACGGGGGGGGGGGGGATGTGATAGCAATATTCCAGTATTCGAGGGGCTGCCACAAAGAGGAGGGAGTCAACTTATTTTCCAAAGCACCAGAAGGCAAGACAAGAAACAATGGATGGAAACTTAATCAAAGAGAGAAACAGCTTGGAATTAAGGAGAAACTTCCTAACAGGGAGAACAATTAACCAGTGGAACAGCTTGCCACCAAAAGTTGTGGGTGCTTCATCCCTGGAGGTTTTTAAGAAAAGACTGAACAGCCACTTGTCTGAAATGGTATAGAGCTGTGGGCACCCGCACCGTCGCCCCAGTCCTAGGCCTTCAGCTGGGCTTTATAAAACCTTTTCGCTTTAGGCCTCCGCCGCCATGTGCAAAAAAAAAAAAAAAGGTTCAATCAATCAATTTCAACTTCTCACAGTAAAAAAAAAGATCTCGCAAAGTTGGAATTGATTGATTGAATTTTTTTAGTCCCACCCAGTCTGCCGTTACCACCGCAGCCACACCCACCCAATGGGCCACGCCCACCTAATTGGCCACACCCACCCAATGAGCCACGCCCACCCGGCACCTGACGATACATAAGTGGGTTTTGGGTTGCAGTTTGGGCACTCGGTCTCTAAAGGGTTCACCATCACTGGTGTAGGTACTGTTTCAGGAAACTCAACAAAAATATGAATATTCCTGTTATTGAAGTGCTAAATTCTGTTCGCATCCTCTCCTTCTTGTCTAGGCTGAGCCAGCCAATCCGTGTCCGTTTCTTGGAGCCAGATGGGACTGTCCTTTTTGAACATCCTGTACAACAGGGCACCGTCTTTCAAGATGGTATGGTAAGTGGACTACAATCAATTCAGAATAGAGCTGGAAGGGACCTTGGAGGTCTTCTAGTCCAACCCCCTGCTCAAGCAGGGGACCCTATACAATGTGAGACACGCGGCAGTCTCCTTTTGTCTATAGGAGTCTCTCCCGTTTTCTGGAGGGAATTCCTCCACTGCACATTGCAGTGCATTACAGTGCAATACAGTGAGCCTTGATTATTGGTTTGGGGGTCCCGGGATTCATTCCATACTTTCTCCTCAATCCTTGTCTTTTTTTTTCTTCTAGATCTGTGGTATGTGGCGGAATTTGCAGAAGGCCTCGATCCGAATGTTGAAGGTGGATCAAATGCGCATCACCCTGATCACCCAGACTCATCCTGCAGGGCAGGTTCAAGGCCAGATTGTCAAGCATCGGGCTCTCTTTGCAGGTAATCTGTGGTTTAGGTAGCCAGGGTTATCTCGGGGAACTTTTTCAAGACTGGGAAGTTTTTAACCTTCCAAGTCACACAAAGAGTCCACAAATCTGGTTCAAAGGATAAGGCATCCTTAAAATAGAATATCATCTCAAGCTGCTTGGACCAACCTAAATAAGGGTTTGTCAGAGCATGAGCATGCACAGTCGTATTGCGCTGAGATAACCCTGGAGTAAATACAGTAAACAGTGTTTTGTATTAAATGGTGATTTATATTATACTATCTACAATATCATACACCAGGAACAATATACATACATGTGGTAAGACAGCAAACTCTAACAAACAGCAGTTACAGCAGGAAACGGACAAGAGAGAGAGACACTCCAGCAAAGCCTTCCCTTTTATACTCAGGCTCTCAAAGGGATACAGACCCTGCTTGTTCTTAAAGAGATACAGACCCTGCTGAGTCATTCCTATCATTGCATCATCCACCTTACATTACATTGCATTTCATTACATTTTCTTATATCATTACATAAGCTGCTTACCTGTTAAATTATTACCTTGACAGGGTTGAACTTGACCTCCTCTGGCTTCGTGGCTTTTCTTTTCTTCCAGGTGTTAAACTACAACTCCCAGAAATTCCAGGGGTTGGGATCTGGCTGCTAACTATCTTGGTACTTGTAGTTCAAGAAACACGATAGGACCCAGAATGGTGAAGGTCATTTTTGAATGTTGAAATTTAGGATATAGATTTGATTTGGTTGCAAGCTTGCCAGATGTAGACCAGGGGTATCTAATCTTGGCAACTTTAAGACTTGTGGACTTCAACTCCCAGAATTCCTCAGCCAGCCAAGCTGGGGAATTGTGGCAATTGAAATCCATAAGTCTTATTATTGCCAAAGTTGGCTACCCCTGATGTAAAGGTTTAGAGAAGGCTGTGAAAAAGTAAGAAGCAACTATTAGGAAAAGAGACAAATGTGAGAAAGAAACTCAAGATTGCTTTGGCTTCCCTGTCTTTGGTATAAGAGAGATAGAAAAGGAAATGCTGCTAGGTTTTAAAAATTTAATATTATAGGCTATGTGTCATGGTTCCGATAGATGAGACCAGTAAAAACAGAACTTCAAGGCAAGAGGTTTCCTTAAAGAACATATTTATTTGGCTACAAAGTATCGGCACGATCAAAAGTGAAACCAAGACTGAAGTTCCCTCCCAAAGATTACAATGTTGATGTCAACGCTGCTAATATTGGATGTTCTTGCTTTGACAGCATATGGAGATGCTTTACTCTTAGAATTAGATGATACTGGGGGAGGGGGAGGAATGTGATGGGAGTTAGTTAGACATAACAATATTGTAATAGTGTGAATTCAGGGCGTTTGTAATAAGAGATGATAAGGCATGGCGGGATGAAGAACTGGGTAGAAATCCAGCGTTTCAAACTAATTGGAGAATGTGATTTATGACTGTTAGTTGTAGGAGGGAATTGTGCTTTGATCTATGTACTGAGGGGTGGGAAGTCAGATTTTGGCTTGGACTATGTAAGTGCCGATATGTTGCTGAAACACTGCCTCGAAGTTCTTTGAAGAGTTTCCTATGTCGGAACCATAACATTTACAAAGTTGAACTTCCCACCCCAGTAATATGTCATAAATCACATTCCCCAATTAACTACTTTGGCAGGCTTTCTAACGGGTGTTTCAGCCCGCCAAAATTCAGGCAGAAATGACCTTGGTTCCCACAGGACAATTTGTTTTGTCTAAATTTAAAAGTACACATCCCCCCTCCCAATTCTGTGGCAACCGAAAATGAAAAAATAAAATGGCTTCAGCAAATTGGTTTGTAGCATTGACACTATGTCAATAATATAGAATTCTAATATTTCTTGTGATGTCTTTTTTCTCACCTGGGTCCTGAGGGCTGACATGAGTTTATTTCGGCTCACAATACCTTATAGGTCTGAGAACATGGAAACAGACCCACTTTGAATCCTCAAAAAAAGAGAAAACAAGAAACGATGGTCTCTATAATCCCACTTTCTAATCACCTCTAGATATTTGAGCCTGCCACTGACACCCACGCCAATAAGGTCTTGTTCTCTTCTGTTCTTTCAGAGACTTTCAGCGCCATTTTGACGTCCATAGACCCGACTCACCTTAACATGGGAGGCATCGCTATGCTTACTCTGAGCGACACCGAGAACAATCTGCATTTTGTCCTAGTTACTAAGGGGTTTCTGGAGTCGGCAGAAAAAAGTGAGCAAGGCCACAACGAAGGAGCAAGCCATAACTGAAAAAGTTCTCTTCAGGGACAGAACCAACCTAGAGCTAAGGAGAAATTTCCTAACATTGAGAAAAATTAATCAGTGGAACGACTTTTGCCTTCAAAAGTTGTGGGTGGTCCAACACTGGAGGCTTTTAAGAAGAGACTGGACAGCCATTTGTCTGAAATGGCTTTAGGGTTTTCTGCCTGAGCAGGGGGTTGGACTAGAAGACCTCCAAGGCCCCTTCCAACTCTGTTAACCTGTTATTCTCTCATCCAATTAGTTAAGACTGAACCAGTCCAGTCCAGTAACAGTGGGCTGCCACCAGAGTTTTGTGTGGGTTCCATATCACAAGGAGATGGATAAAAGACCAAATGTGAATTAAATTATCTTTAATGCCCCATTAATGACTTGCAGGCAATCTTAGAAAGAAAAAGTAAAGCTAAATCAGTGGTTCTCAACCTGTGGGTCGGGTCCCCATTTGGGGTCGATTGACCATTTCACGGGGGTCGCCAAGCAAGGCTGTCCGCCATTTTTTTGTCCGCCATTTTTTCCCCCCTTTTCCGGCGGATGCCTTACCTCCCTTGGGCTGGGCCAGCTGGTGGTCGGCCTGCTCCGTCTCTGCCGCTTGCCAGTTACGCCTCAGCCGGCGCAGGGGGCGGAACCACGCATGCGCGGCGCTCCCGGGCAGGGAAAGTCCTCGACTTACGACCGGTTGGGTAGTCCTCGACTTACGACCAGTTTAGTCCTCGACTTACGACCGGTTGGGGTCGCGGCATTAAAAAGGTTGAGAACCACTGAGCTAAATGAAGGCAGATACTGCTGTACATCAGCAAGAACTAATTCCACGTTTTAACTGCTCAATCTATAGAAAACCAAGGCTAGGCATAAGTCCCGAGATGGAACGTGAACAACACAAGACTGGATAAAAGAATAATTGCCGTAGACCAGCTCTGATGCCCATTGCAGATGGATTCTTCTCACTTTTACAAGCAGCCCTCTACATACGAGCATTCGTTTAGCAACTCTTCAAAGTTTTGAAACCATACTGAAAAAAAAATGACTTACAACCACTGCTCATAGCATGAATTGTTTCTCCGCTTTCTTGCAGAATCGGATCGGATCCCTCTAAGGGTGCAAATCTTACACCAGGACAGCGTTCTGAGGCAGGTTCTGGCTAATGTCACCTTACAGGTAAGCCGACATTTTAAAACCCCGTTCCGAGTGGCTTTGGGGGACACTTAACGAAGCTGCTGCCGTTTGCTTGCCTGCTTTCGCTGTCATTCCCAGGACCCCGATTTTGCAGAGGTGCTGGTCGTATTGGGGAGTCAGGAGATGCACTGGCTGGCCCAAGGGCAGCTGAGGATGACCGCAGAGGTGGAAGGTGGAGTCCGTCGCAAGTTAGCTGGGTACATCACGGTCCGAAGAAGCTGTGACAGTGAGTGGGGTTTGGGCTCCCCGTGGCTTATTCATCCTGGCTACTCTCCTCCTTGCAGGGTTTATGAGCTTTTGGCATTGATGTAGCCAGAAAAGAATATATATATATATATATTTAATGTGCAATTTTGTGCACATCAAGTACAAGTAGTCCTGGACTTACATTCATTTAGTGGCCGTTCAAACGTTACAACGCCACTGGAAAAAAGTGGCTTGTGACCGCTTTTCCCACTTATGATCATTGCGGCATCCCCGTGGTCACGTGATCAAAATTCGGATGCTTGGCCACTGGCTCGTACTTATGACGGTTGCAGCATCATGTGATCCCCTTTTGCGAGCTTCTTACAACACGCGGAGTCAATGGCGAAGTCAGATTCATTTAACCCCCGTTGTGGTCATGAGTCAAGTTGTTTTCAAACTGTAATATATGTGGACTTCAACTCCCAGAATTCCACAGTCAGCATGCTCACCTAACTACATTGTCATCCGAAAAGCATCACTTTCCCCTCCCTCCTCTCTCTCTCCCGCTCTCTCTCTCTCTCTCTCTTCCAGCCATACAGAGTGTACTTTGTGGAGCAAATGCGTTGATACCCACCCACACAGGGGCAGTGGGCTCTGCCAAGGTTGTGCTACATGAAAATGGGACATGGGAGTATCAGGTAGGAGGGAACTTTTGCTGGCGCCCTGGATAGTTTGCACATGCGACGGTAGCAGGAGAGCACAATTCAAGCCCCACAATTGTGTACAGCTCCTAAGCACCTGGGGTCTCTAGAGCAAGGGTGTCAAACTGCCAGCCCGCGGGCCAGATGCGTCATGCTGAAACCACGCCCACCCCATTACCGGCAATGGGAAAAAAGTTGTGATACGTCGCAACACGTCACGTGACATTGCGAGTTTGACATCCCTGCTCTAGACCCCTTCCTGATGTTGCTACTGAATACAGTCCTCAACTTACAACCATTCATTTAGTGACTTTGACGTTACCACGGCATTAAAAAAAAGCGACTTATGACCATTTTTCACACTTACGACCGTTGCAGCATCCCCATGGTCACATGATCAAAATTTGGATGCTTGGCAACTGGTTCATATTTACGATGGTTGCTGTGTCCCGGGGTCACGTGATCATCTTTTGATCACCTTCTGGCCTTCTGGGATGCTGCAACGGTTCTAAGTGTGGAAAAACGGTCACAGGATCCTGTTTTCGTTGCCGTGGTCACTAAATGAACTGTTCAGTGGGGGGATTCAAATACCTGAACAACCGGTTCTCTTATTCGATGCAGGCCTGGGCCTCCGAGGCCTAGAACGGACTTCCGGAAATGGCATCATGCACTTCTGTTGGGCCATTCTAGGCCTGGAAGGCCTCCTCCAGACCTCCGAGGCCTAGAACGGACTTCCGGAAGTGGCATCTACGCACTTCTGTTGGGCCATTCTAGGCCTGGGAGGCCTCCTCCAGGCTTCTGAGGCCTAGAACAGACTTCCGGAAGTGGCATTTACGCACTTCTAGCGGGCCATTCTAGGCCTGGAAGGCCTCCTCCAGGCCTCCGAGGCCTAGAACGGACTTCCGGAAGTGGCATCACACACTTCGGTTGGGCCACTCTAGGCCTGGGAGGCCTCCTCCAGGCCTCCGAGGCCTAGAACAGATTTCCGGAAGTGGCATCCACGCACTTCCAGTGGGCCATTCTAGGCCTGGGAGGCCTCCTCCAGGCCTCCGAGGCCTAGAACGGACTTCTGGAAGTGGCATCCATGCACTTCCAGCGGGCCATTCTAGGCCTGGGAGGCCTCCTACAGGCCTCCCAGGCCTAGACTGGACTTCTGGAAGCCAGCCGGTTCTCCGAATGCAGCAAAATTTAGCTACCGGTTCTCCCGAACTGGTGCGAACCGGCTGAATTCCACCACTGAAACTGTTGCAAGTCAAGGACTATCTGTACTCCATTAGGAGGATTGGGGACGTTGTCATGGGGACACAGTATGGAAAAAAAGCTGCTGTCAACATTGGCAAGTCTGCGGTTCCTTGTGAACGGATGGGGGAAAGCACATTAACGCTTGAGAAATATCAAGGTCAGTGAAGCAATGGAGGGAAACTCGTCAAGGAGAGAAGCAATCTAGAACTAAGGAGACATTTCTTGATAACAGATAACAGACTAACAGAGTTGGAAGGGATCTTGGAGATCTTCTAGTCCAGCCCCCTGCTCAAGCAGGAAACCCTATACCATTTCAGACAAGTGGCTGTCCAATCTCAGTATCAGAATCGGAATAGAGCTGGAAGGGACCTTGGAGGTCTTCTAGTCCAGCCTCCACTACACTATTCAACTACTAAACTAAACCACTAAAATAAAAGAATAAAATAAAATTGATGTGATAATCAGGGCAGGGGAACAGAATCAAAACTTTCTGCTAAATTCAGCCTTTTCATGCCTTCCAAAAGACGGACCATTGCAAAGAGTAACAGAATAACAGTGTTGGGAGGGACCTTGGAGGTCTTCTAGTCCAACCCCCTGCTCAAGCAGGAGACCTATATACCATTTCAGAGAAGTTGCTTTCCAGTCGCTTCTTAAAAACCTCCAGGGATGAAGCACCCACAACTTCTGGAGGCAAGCTGTTCCACTGGTTAATTATCCTCACTGTGAGGAAGTTTCTCCTTAGTTCCAGGTTGCTTGTCTCTTTGATTAGTTTCCACCCACTTCTCCTTGTCCTGCCTGCAGGTGCTTTGGTAAATAAATTGACCCCCTCCTCTTTGTGGCAGCCTCTCCAATACTAGAATACTGTGAGAATGTCACTCCTAGTCTTTCTTTTCTCTAAACTAGTCATTTCCTGACAGTGAGGATAATTAATCAGTGGAATGACTGGCCTCCAGAAATTGTGGATGCTCCAACACTGGGAGTTTTAAAGAAGAGATTGGACAGCCATTTGTCCGAAATTGTATAGGGTCTCCTGCCTGAGCAGGGGGTGGACTAGATGACCTCCAAGGTCCCTTCCCACCCTGTTAGTCTGTTGTTATTCTGTTTTTCTTTTATTCTGTTATTCGGTTAATGTGGCTTTGAACATTCCTTTTGGACAATCTTCTGTCTAGATCCAGGTAGACGGAACAGGAAGTGAGGTGATTGGTGTCACCTTGGAGACCAAACCCCGCCGAAGAAACAAACGCAGCATTTTGTATGACATGACCCACAGCTACAAGGGTGGCATGGTGAGTGTTGGCTGGCAGAAGAGTGGGAGGACTAGGGGATGGGTGGACGGCAGCCAATTGGGTACAGCGAGCCCCAGAGAGTTCAAAATGTGTGAAATGCATTGTTCCTCTTTGCATGCACTTCACACTTAACAGAGGACCAAGCCTTACACCTTTTATTCCCCCCCCCACCATCCTTGTTATTTTCAGGCCAGTGGCTCCTGGACCCAAGCCAGCGGGCGCGATGCCCACATGCTGCTGCAGAATGAGCTGTTCTTGAATGTCGCCACCAAGGATTTTGAGGATGGAGAATTGCGGGGACAGATAAACTCCATGCTCTACAGCGGACTCTGGGCCCGTTATCAAGGTACTCGTATGAAGAGTGTATAAAAGATACTCTCTGAGGCAGGTAACAGGAGAATCACCTGCGGTTGGTGTGAATAAAGTTTTTGTTCTAGCTCGAGGCGGGCAACTTGAAGACTTTTGGACTTCAACTCCCAGAATTCCCAGAATCCTTCAGCCAGCCATACTGGCTGAGGAATTCTGGGAGTTGAAGTCCACCAGATTTGGCAACTTTAAGACTTATGGACTTCAACTCCCAGAATTCCCAGAATCCCTCAGCCAGCCATACTGGCTGAGGAATTCTGGGAGTTGAAGTCCACCAGATTTGGCAACTTTTAAGACTTTTGGACTTCAACTCCCAGAATTCCCAGAATCCCTCAGCCAGCCATACTGGCTGAGGAATTCTGGGAGTTGAAGTCCACCAGATTTGGCAACTTTAAGAGTTATGGACTTCAACTCCCAGAATTCCCAGAATCCCTCAGCCAGCCATATTTGGCAACTTTTAAGACTTATAGACAACTCCCAGATTTCCTCAGCCAGCCATGAGCATCCGGGTGAAAAGACAAGAGATGTCAAGATGGTAGATCAGTCTTCCTTAAACATGCCAATGTCAAGGTGGATGGACTTCAACTCCCAGAATGCTCCAGCCAGCATGGGAGTTGATGTCCACCCCTCTTAAAGCTCCCAATTTGAGAGACACTGTGGTAAAAATGAGGAAGTCATTGCCACCCTTAAAAATCCTGCATAGTGTGAAACGTAGCTATAGGCAGTCCTCGACTTAATGACCACAAATGGGACCAGGATTTCTGTTGCTAAGCAAAGCAGTGGTTAAGTGAATAATAATAATAATAATAATAATAATAATAATAATAATAATAATAATAATAATAATAATAATAATAATAATAATAATAAT